CTCCGGCTCCGCCCCTGGCGCGCTCAGCGCGCCAGAGAGGGGTTCCGGCGCGGATCCAAGAAATCCGCGCCGACCTCCGAGTTTTTTATGTTTCGGGGGCGGAAAAGAGGGGGGTGGTGCATAGGGAGGGGTGGATATCATGGCGGGGGCCATGATATTTCCCCAGATTTCATGGCGCCTCTTCTTATTTCATTACGTCTGGCCCCCCCGCTGGGCCGCGCACATGCCGCCGGTCATGATTTGCACCCCCACCTCTTGGACACCCCCTTCTTGGCCGCTCCCGAATGTTTATGTCATTGTTCCCCGAATTTCGCAGTTGGCCACGAGTCGGGTATGGAGAGGACCCCGGGCGAGGGGAGCCGGTCAGTGCCTGGGCCCCGAGGCCTCAGAAATTGGCTACAGCAAGCCAGGTCTGCCGTCCTTAAAACGACGCGTTCTTAAAACGACGCGAAGATCGGGACAAAATCGGATCGGGATAACTCGAAATCTCTGAGAATCGGCGGGTTTGGAGGATGTATTGGGCGCCGCGGCCGCTCCAGAGCGTTCTGGAACGCTCTGAGAGCGCTCCGGAACGCTCTGGAGCGATTTATCCCCATCCTAGCCATGTTTTAATCTCCCGGTAGACATCAAAATGAAACCCACTTCTGCCAACGTCCGAATGAGGGGAATCGAAGAAGGAGCACCTCCGCGCGGATTTCTTCCATTGCGGTAGGCCCGCCTTCTTGGCGCGCAGTGCATGCTTATGTAGTGTTGAGCTCCTTTTTCAAAGGGCCCTGGCGGGAAACGCGGCCATGTGTTTTCGAAGCCTTCTCGCAAATATCGGTTGGACATCTCGGTGCGTCAATTCCATCGATTGGAATTGGGGTGCGACGATCATAACACCAATCATCGTCATCATCGTGAACGGTCTTAGTGATTGTTGGACATGTCTTTGGCGTTTCATTATAATTTTTAACTTTTGCATTTTGTGAGTTTACAGCGTGGACCTGGAGTTAGAAACAAATTGAGCCCAGGAGGTATTTCAAACCGTTTCCTCGCGAAGGCATGCGCATGTTTCAAACAAGTGTTGATACAAGCTGGCGATGGAAAGGAAAGCATGTCCTGGAAGGTATCAACCAAAACACCAGTTTCCTGAATTTGTGACATTGCGAGATCGTGTCTAGTGTAAGGCATGCGGGACGGCACAGCAGGCAGTTCGCCAAAGACGTGTTGCTTCCCCCTTGTCATCCGTACCATTCTTGTCGACCTAATCCGCCGCTATCTTCCACATAACGGGGCCGATTGCCAGGTTTGGGACAGGAATCGGAAACGCTTTGAAAACGTGCTGGAAACGTATTCAAAGTGGTTTGGACGATCAATCTCGATCAGACAATCGTTTAACAAGTCGTTGAGATGAGGTGAAAACATGCAGCATTGACAAGTCGTTTTGTCCAGGTGAGTCTGAGGAGGAAGAAGATAATCAGGAGGAGGGTGAGCATGCTAGAGGAGCAGATGCCTCAGGCAGACGCAGACCGACCCCGAAGGAGACCTGTAAGCCATTGGCAGAACCAAAGACAAACATCATAAATATCGTTTCCTCGATGTGACGTCTGGAGCGCTTACTACACCTTTCAGTAAAGACCCAGAACATATCAAGCATTTCGCAGCCAGAAATAGTTACACATACGCGTTAGTGAGTGAAAGGTGAACAGTATAACGAAATACCCAGCGTTCCCCAACAACCACCAAGTCACAAGTTTTCGACACGAATCTACACGATTCGTAAATGAGCACGGCAGGTTCTCGGTTCGATAAACATGTACAAGGAGTTTGTTGTTTGGCTGCCGCGTAGCCAACTGCAAACCGACGCTGCTTCCCAATTTTGATTGCGTCGTCTGCCCGTCGTGTGTTTCATCCACGGGTCATACCAGTCAGCTACAGCGCTGCGGTCAACGCCTGCGACAAAGGTGACCGGTGGCAACATGCTCTGTTGTTGCTCCGAGCTATGTCGGAGGGTAAGTTTGAGCCGAATGCCTTCAGTTACCTTCATGGAATTAGAGCGTGTTCGAACGGCGCGAACTGGCAACAGGCCCTGTCGCTGCTCGACGGGATGCGGGTGGCGAAGTCGCTGCCGAACATGGTCATCTACAGCCATGGAGTCAGGGCGTGCGAGAAAGGTGACCAGCGGCAGCGGTCCCTGTCGCTGCTCGGCGAGATGTGGAATTAGAAGTGGGAGCATTGCGCCTTCATCATTTCAACACTAGGGTCGTCACAAAAAACGCTGTTAAAGCTCACCAGTGGAGGTCTCGGCCCCATTTTCCCACGGTTCTTGTCGAGCTACATCGCTGTGTGGGGTGTCCCGAGGCGGACGGGGCTATGACGAGGATGAATCCGTTCAGGCTATGTCCTCCTCCTCCTCCTCCTCCTCCTCCTCCTCCTCTCCTCCTCCTCCTCCTCCTCCCCCCTCCCCCTCCCCTCCCCCTCCCCCTCCCCCTCCCCCTCCCGCCCCTCCCCCGCCCGCCCCCTCGGGCGGCCGCCGCCCTGCCGCCAGGAGGAGCCCGGCCGCTCGGGCGAGCGGGGCCTGTAGGCGGTCGGCGAGCCCTCCGCGCTCCGACACGGCCGCCGCGGGCGCGGCAAGAATCGGCCACTCACCACCCACCAAACCACCCCAACCCAACCCGAAGGCTCAGATTTACCCCCGATTTTCCAGTGGGGGGGGGGGTCGGGAAACATCGAAGCAGACACATGTGGAGCCCTTACCCCCCCCCCACCCCGAAATTCGGGTCTTCGGGTTGGGTTTTGGGTGGTGTGGTAGGTAGTCAGCCGCGCGCAGAGGGGGGACTTCGTTGGTGTTGCAGTGCGCACTCCCAGACGTCCTCGAGCCATGCACCAGTCACGAGGTGAGGCGTTCCTCAAACTTCGGCCTCTGGGGGCCCTTAGCGGGCCTCGGGACCGCCGAAAGACGACCCAGGATGAGAAACCGGTCCCGGGGAATGGGTCGAGACCTCTGGGGATGAGAGTATGCGTTGGTTTTCGGCGGCGTTCGTTGGTTTGCGTCGGTCTTCCAGCTTCGGGGCGCTCTCCCAGCAACCGGCGCCTCGCCGAGGGCGTTCCGGGCGGGCCCCAAACGAAGGCCCGAGGCCCGAGCCATGGCCCGGAGGCCAGCGGCATGCGCAGAGGGGGGCGGGGGAGAGGGGGAGGGAGGCTTCTTAGAAGCACCTTTTGTCTCGGTAGCTGCGGGGCTGGCGCCTTCTGAGAAGCAGTTTCCACCTCAGGAGCCTGCCCCCTCCCCCTACCCCCCTGTGCGACAGGAGTCGGGGGAGGAAGAGGAACCCATACCCCTACCCTTCCCTCCTTTTCGCCTTTTGTGGGCCAAATCGGAGACCCTCGTCGCCACCGCTGGATTCGCCGTACGAAGGCCGGCAGAATTCAGAGGAGGAAAAGGTACCGATGCCGCTGCCGTCGCCTCGTTTTCGCCGTCTTGGGCCTCCTGGGAGGCACTCGTCGCCACTGCTGGATTCGCTTCGAAATCCTGATCCTGGCCAGATCGCACCTCGTGTGAGTGCCAAAACGGGCGTAACGCCCACATGTGAACGTCGCCATTTGGACCTCATGTGGAGCTCCCCTTTGGGCCTCCAAGCGCGTGCTGGGTGTGCCGAAACGGGCTTGACGGGCACACACGACCGTTTCAATCGGGGCTTTCGTTAGAGCCGCTTATGGGGCCACGAAGCGTGTAAAGGGTGTTGCGAAACAGGGGCATGCGGAAGGCAGAGGCATGGGTGGGAAGAGGGAAGGGTGGGAGGAAGGAGGAAGGAGGGAAGGACTGACTGAGACGCGGGGCACTGTCTTTTTCAAATGGGAAATGCACGACGGTGCACATGGCCGTTCTCTCACCCCTGTCACACGGCCACGCCCCTTTGCAAACAATACATACGTGACGTTGCACAAAGTCATATTCTCACCCCTGTCACACGGCTACGACCCTTTGTGTACCATACGATACGGTGCACTGGCCGTGCTCACGCGGCCACGGTCTTTCGTAATTGCCCCGGGCGCGCTCAAGCCCCTCCACGCGAGGCGATTATTCATATATGCGTTCCGTGCAAGAAAACACGTTGCGAGGACAATCTGCTCCGCTGGGCCTCTTAGGAACCCACGAAGGTGGCGACGTTTGTGCAAGTCACAGCCTCCCAGGGAGCCGCGAGGTTTGCTTGACCACCGCCTCCGCTGGACCTGCCAGGTTCCCCACGAAAGTGCGGATATTTGCGCAGTTGGGAACCCCCTGTGGAGCCGCACGGTCTCGCCTGACCACCGCCTCCGCTGGTTCTTTCAGGAGCCCGCGAAATTGGCGACAGTTGCGCAGTTGGAATCCTTCCATAGTGCCACAAGGGTTGAGTGGTTGCAGCGCCCACAGAACTAGAACAACCAGGAGGCAGAAAGAGGAGAAAGGGAGAAAGAGGAAGCGCGCGCAGCGCTACTATTCAAAATGAGAGCCCAACGCAGGAGGATTCGGAATAAAGCAGGACGCACGTGGCAGGGGCGAATGAGAAGAGGAGGTGGCGGAGGAAGAGGTGATGTGAGGTGAGGTGACGGGGAGCGCGGTGCTTTATGCCAGACGAGAAACCAACGCAGGAGGACTTGAGTAAACAATTACACTGCATGTGGCCGTGCTCCCACCCTAGGATGACATCGGAATGCACGTTCTCAATCGCCGAGGTACTCGACGACCCGCTTCTTCACCTTTGCTATCGGGGTGCTTGGTGTATTCGCATGTGCCCATGGATGCCGATATCGGGGAGCAGTGCCAGGATTCAACAGCCAACACGTTGCCGCAGATCTGGGGCACAAGGGGTGGAGGAAAGCGAGGGGGACGAGAAGGAGGAGGAGGAGGCGGGTAGGGAGGAGGCCGAGGAGGAGGAGGACCAGTGTAAGCCCAAGATGCATCAACGATGTTGCTGTAAACCCTCCAGGTTGCCCGTCCATACCCTCAGGTGGCAGCGTTTGTCGTACACTGCACCCCTCCGCGGACAAAGTCCCATTCACCGGCCGTGCACGCTGCACGCGTCCCACCCTCCCGACCCCATCTTACATACCCAAAAACGTGCGTGTACGCTATGCGGTTATGTGTTGCAAGCGGACGTGCACAGTGAACGTTCTTACGTTGGCGGTCGTTTTACCTTGCCCTTTTCCCTTGGCGTGCGTGCATAGCGCCCTCGTCAGGGTGCACTCTATACGATTCCGTCCCTGTTCCCTGCCCTCGCTCCCAATCCATCCTCGCTTTGCCCTGGGTATTATTTTAGCTTCCCCGAGGAAAAGGAGGAGGAGGAGGAGCAGGAGGAGGAGGAGGAGGAGGAGGAGGAGGAGGAGTAGGAAGAGGAGGAGTGGGAGGTTACACGTCCGCGTGACAGGAGGAGGATGAGGAGGAGGAGGAGGAGGAGGCAGTGGTGGCTCGGTCCATCGGTGGCCGATAGATCGAGTGTGGTTCCAGGGATTGTTGAGTCAGATCGCTATCATGAAAATACATGTGTATTCTAAACATTTTTTTGTTCTGAGCAATCTGGCGTGCATGCTAAACGTTTTTCGTTGTTTCAGAAACCGGAAATGCCCCGTAGGAAAACTACCGCCGGATAATTTTCAAGCTTGCCCACACAAAAGTTGAAATTTCAGCGCCGCGAATCAACGCGACTGTTGCGTGCTGAAATCCTAAGTCGTACCAGGATACTACTCCTGGGACTTCAACACTGTGAACCAATGTGGCTCTAGCGTCCTGTCAATCCTACCTCGTGCCAGAACGCCGTTCCTGACACTTCAACCATACGAACCCTTCAAAAGGAGCCGCTCTCCATATTTCATAACCGTTGTTAATTTTGTGAGCGAATCTACGCGGTGCTGAGACAAAAGACACGTTTTGACAACCACCCGCATTCCGTCCGCGACATTGTTTCAATCGTTCGAAGCGAATGTGCGCGGCACCGAGACCAGGGCCATATTTTGAAGACGACCAGCCCTCCGTCCGTGGTTGTGTTCTGAGTCGGTTTGAGACGAATGTGCGCCGCGCTAAGGCGAGGCCCACATGAAGTCAATGATCCGCCCTCCATCCGTGAAGCTGTTGCATATTTCACTAGCCCGGACCATGATCGGCGATGATTTCTCAGGCGAAGCGCCCAGCCCGCCCGACCGACACGTCCGGGGTGCGACATGCAGGAGCTCTTTCAAGGAGGAGGAATGGTGGAGGGGGCCGAGGAGAAGGAGGAAGAGGAGGAGGAGGGGGAGGAGCAAAGGGAGCATGAGTGAAGATGAGCGAGGTGGCTGGGGTGGGAGATCGGCTGCGTTGCCGCCAGGCCAGTGAGGGCCCTCGTGACGACTTCTGGCGCCGCCGAATCGGTGGCCGCGCCTGGGCGATACGAGTTGCTCCTCTCCACTCTGCTGGTCCCGGCCTCCCGTATGAAAGGCGCATATGTATGCACACATGTTTATTTATATACGTGCACATATTTTTTTATATATATATATATATATTATCAGAGTGAGGGGGCCGAATGGTCATTCACTGTCCCTGGGTGCGTGGCTGAAGTGGAATTTCGCGGTGCGGATTTTCGTTGTTGTTGTTGTTGCTTGTTGTTGTTGTTGTTGTTGTTGTTGGTGTTGTTGTTGTTGTTGTTGTTGTTGTTGTTGTTGTTGTTGTTGTTGTTGTTGTTTGTTGTTTGTTGTTTGTTGTTTGTTGTTTGGTGTTTGTTGTTTGTTGTTTGTTGTTTGTTGTTTGTTGTTAGTGTTGTTAGTGTTGTTGTTGTTGTTGTTGGTGTTGGTGTTGGTGTTGGTGTTGTTGGTGTTGTTGGTGTTGTTGGCGTTGTTGGTGTTGTTGTTGCTGCTGTTGTTGTTGTTGTTGTTGTTGTTGTTGTGTTTGTTGTTTGTTGTTTGTTGTTTGTTGTTTGTTGTTTGTTGTTTGTTGTTTGTTGTTTGTTGTTGTTGTTTGTTGTCGTCGTCCCACCCGCAACCCGCCCCGCGACCCACCCGCGACCCAACCCGCGACCCACCCCGCGACCCGCCCGCGACCCACCCGCGACCCACCCGCGACCCACCCCGCGACCCACCCCGCGACCCACCCCGCGACCCACCCCGCGACCCACCCGCGACCCACCCCGCGACCCGCCCGCGGCCCACCCCGCGACCCACCCGCGACCCACCCGCGACCCACCCGCGACCCACCCGCGACCCATCCCGCGGCCCGCCCGCGACCCACCTTCGACCCAAACCGCGTTCAAGGTACAAACCACTATTTTCGGCGCCTGCGGCGGGCTTTTTTGTATTCCTTCCAGGTGGAGAGCCCGCGACCCACCCTGTGACCAACTCGCGACCAACCCGCGACCCAAACCACGTTCAGAGTACAAACCACATTTTTCGGCGCCTGCGGCGGGCATCTTTGGCATTCGTTTCAGGTGGAGAGCCCGCGGCCCACCCGCGACCACGTTCAGGGCACAAACCACATTTTTCGGCGCCTGCGGCGGGCATCTTTTGCATTCGCTCCCGGCGGAGAACCCGCGGCCCACCCGCGACCCAAACCACGTTCAGTGTACAAACCAATTTTTGGGGCGCTTGCGGCGGGCTGCTTTTGCATTCCTTCCAGGTGGAGGCGGAGAGCCCGCGACCCACCCGCGACCCAAACCACGTTCACTGAACAAACCAATGCCGCACAAGCAGGGCGGCGGATTTCCGCATGCCGTCTGAGCCCGCATGGACCTCTTCAATCCCCGCGCATCTACACCAGCCCGTCCAGCAACTTTGCCCTGGCGGGGTTTCTTGATCAGAGAAGTTTGGGGAGCATACAGTGGAAAAAAGGATTGCGTAAAGAGGAAAAAGAGGGGGAGGCAGGATGAGTAAACAGGGGACGAAGAGGACGCGGAAGAAGAGAGGATGTAAGGATAATGTGGAGAAAGAAAGGAGGAGGAGCAGGAGGACGAGGAGGGGGAGGAGGAGGGGGAGGAGGAGGGAGGAGGAGGACGAGAAGGGGGAGGAGGGGGAGGACGACAATGGGAGGACGATGGTGAAAAAGGAGGAGGGGGGGAGAGGGAGGACGAGGAAGAAGAGGAGGAGGACGAGGTGGAGGAGGAGGATGACGATGACGATGAGGACGAGGACGAGGAAGAGGAGGAGGAGGAGGAGGAGGAGGAGGAGGAGGCGAGCGCCATCGACAGGGAAGGTGGGGGCCACGAGGTCTGCCGGCTCGACGACGCCCGCGTCGCCCGCGCCCGCCCCCTCACTCTTATCCGCAATTGCGGGTGCTATGTGTATATATATATATACATATATATATATATATATATATATTATATATGTATATATGTATATCAGGGTGAGGGGCCGAGCGGTCATTCATTGTCCCTGGGTACGTGACTGAAGTGGGGCTCTGCGGTGGGGATTATGCTTGTTGTTGTCGTCGTCCCCCCCGCGACCCGCCCGCGACCCACCCCGACCCACCCCGCGCGACCCACCCCGCGACCCCCCCGCCGCCCACCCCGCGACCCCCCCCCGCGACCCACCCCGCGACCCACCCCGCGACCCACCCCGCGACCCACCCCGCGACCCACCCCTCGACCCACCCCGCGACACAACCGCGACCCACCCGCGACCCGGCCCGCGACCCACCCGCGACCCACTTGCGACCCACCCCGCGATCCACCCACATTGCTTCAACGAAAAAAACGGCGCCTGCGGCGGGCTCACCGCATACATTGTAAAAGGAAGGTTCCTGCGGCGGGTTTTTTCAGAGGCTCGCAGCCTGACGACGTCCTCGCCGCCCCCTCACTCTTGTCCGCAACTGCGGGGTGCTACGTACATGTATGTATGTGTGTATATATATACACATCAGAGTAAAGGGGGGCAAACGGTCATTCATTGTCCCTGGGTGCGTGGCTGAACAGGGAATTCGTGGTGACAATTCTGCTTGTTTTGATTGAATTCACTTTTCTGAAAAAGTAGTCATTGTTGATCCGCCCTCGCCGGTGCATACTGGTTTTTCTCAATCAAAGTGTGCCCCTCGACGCTCGCTACTTGTTTTTTTTGACAGTGGGGGAAGTCTTGGTGCTCAAACTGGGCCCCTGGCCTCCCGGATTACAGCAGCAATGGCTCCCGCCTGAGACTTCCTCCAAATTTAGTCAGGACCCCCGCTCCTGAGACTTCCTCACAATTTAATCAGGACCCCCCGACTGACTTCCTCGCAATTTAATCAGGACCCCCCCCCCCTATCTGAGACTTCTTCACATTTGTTTCTCAAGAACGGCGTTCCCGCTTGAGACTTCCTCGCAATTGAATCAAGACTTTTTCGCAATGTAATCAAGACCCCGCTCCCGCCAGAGAACCCTTCACATTTCATTCAGGATTTGCGCTCTCGCCTGTGACTTCCATGCAATATGTTCAGAGATGGCGCTTTCGACGCTCAGGAAACACGCTGCGCCAATGACGCCGATACAATTTACTTAGTAATCGCGCTCTCGCCATACTCAGGCATCCCGGTTGAATGTCCCACCCGCCCGACCCGCCCGTCAGGGGATCGCCCGCCCGTCGTGGGGTCCCGCCCGAGACTTCCTTCAGGAACGGCGCTTTCGCCTAGGACTTCCTCGAACATTCACGCGCTAATCTTCCTGCTCCTCCCTCTCCCTCCTCCCTCCTCCCTCCTCTCCTCCCTTCTCTCTCCCTCCTGTCTTCCCTCATCCTTCTGCCTTTCTGCCCTATCCCCTCTCCCTCATCTCCCTCCTCCCTTCTCCCTCCCCTCTCCTGCCTCCTCCCTCCCTCTTTCTTTCTTTCTCTCTCCCCTCTCTCTCTCTTTCTCTACCTCTCTTACCTGTCTTTCTCTCTGTCTCGCTCTCTTTCTCTCTCTCTCTCTCTCTATCTCTCTCTCCCTGCCTCTAATCAACCGCCCCCCTCTTCGCTCCTTCTCTCCTGGCGTGGTCCCTCTTCCTTCGTCCCTCCCCCTCCCTTCCTCCCACTCTCCCTCGTTCTCCCCCTCCTCTTTTTGCATGGCCCACACCACTTGCAATTGCAATCTCGTCCAACATCCGCCTTTGGGAGGAAATGCCCGACCTAATGGTAATGGGGGTCACCTAAACGGGGGCTGAAGACAAGAGTCCTAAAAGGGCCTTCTTCCTTCATCCCCCATGCAGTTCACCCCCCACTGCAACCCGCCCGAGCCTGCTTCGCCGTGGCGGAGAGACCACAGGGCCCCCCCCCACAGTCGTCACCTGGAGTCAGTTTGTGGCGGTCCCGGGGCCCCTGGAGGGTCTCAGGGGCTTGGACGCAGCAGAACGGCTGCATGGTCTCTTTCCTCTGCGACGCGCTCTTTTCCTGTCACGTGAGCGCTCCTCCTCTCCGTAGACGCGACGACACACTAGCTCTAAGCCGAAGGCTGAGCGAGCTTTGAAGCTGAGCAGGGCTTGGCGTGTGGTACTGCCAGGACGCTCTGACCCAAGGTGCGCACACGGGAAATATCGCCTTCTCCCCTCGCGCGCCCCAATTCCGGATCCTCGGTCTCTGGTTCCTGTCCTCTCAACGCGAAGATTCAGCCATGTCTTTTTCGAAGGTCGGCGTTATCTCTTGGGTCAGCGCTGTCGGTGCCCTGGCCGCGCATCTGGCGCCGCCTCTTGCGCTCCCCGCCCGCCAGGCGAAGGGGTGTCAGCGCCGACCCAAGACATCCGCGCGGACCTGCGAAACATTGGGCTGATATGCAGCTACACTCTAGGCGATGCTTAAGAATACCCAAGTTTTCAGCCAGAGTCTCGATTATTCTTAATGTTTCGATGTAAATCCCAAGATTTGAATAGACATTCTGGGCTTTGATTCAAATTCTGAGACTATGAATTTCTTAACCCATGATTTCTAAAGCATTTCGCAGGGTGTACAGTCGGGGCCCTGAAGAAGGAACCCTTTTCGTTGGGGAGGGGCTCCGTGTTCCTTAATCGTTTCGCAGCTTGCCTTAGGGTTTCCTCAGGTTTTCGATGCGAAGTCGACGTTCAACTCATGGAAAAAAGGGGCCTCGTTCCTTGTTTTGGGTTCCTTAGGTCAAGCCCCCGACTGTATTCTGATCCATGAGAATCCCAGACATCCGACGATCCGACGACGGACATTCTGTCTCTGCGCGGCCCCAGAGGTGTCCCGACTGCTTCCGTGGGTTTTTTTGAACTCGTGATGGACCTATGTTTGATTGAACCCGGGTCCGACAGAGAGCCTCGGAGACCGAAATCTAGGAGGAGTGTCTGGATTTGAAGTTTTCATCGTTTGCGATCTGGGTCCGCCCCTGGTCCGTCCCCCTCCTTCTCCCCCTCCTCCTCCTCCTGCTCCTCCTCCTCCTTCTCCTCCCCCACCTCTCCTCCTCCTCCTCCTCCTCCTCCTCCTCCTCCTGCTCCTCCTCCCCCTCCCCCTCCTCGTCCTCCTCCTCCTCATCACCCCTGG